TACAGATAGCCGACAGCTAAGCCATGAGTGAAAATTTAAAAACGTACGTTTTCAGGAAAAGCATTTTGCAAATTTTTTCCCCTTTTTTCAAAACTTTTATTATTATTTTTATTTCATTAACATTTTAAGTTTCATAAAATGTCCATGGTAACGCAATATCTTTGGTAGTTTTCTTTTTAAAGAGCATCTTTAGTAGAAAAACACAAAATCCTGTCACGACCATAACGGACGTTTAAATGAATATTAAAAATAGTTAATATTATTTTTATAACTATGTTTTGCTATAAACTAATTTACTTTTATGACCATTATACAGTAAAAAGGTCACTGAGCTTTTGGTATATTTGGTCTTTCTAGAAAGAAATTTAAAAAAACTCATAAAATAGAAAAAAGTCAATAAAATCTTTTTAAGTTTGTATAACTCCGAAAAAACTTACCTGAGACCCAAAAAATCGTTATGTTTGTATAGAGGTGTGCTTCTTTTGTGTATAAAACATTGAAATATGATGATATTTTAATTTTTGAAATTTTTATGATAGAAATCATAAACGTGATGGTCAGGGACAAGCGGTACGGTCGTGAATTGTCTGGAATAATCTAAATCTTTCCAAACAATCCTTCAATTATACTGTTAGTTATAATAAAACTATGTGTTTCAATTGAACTAAACTGTTCAATTTACAATTATATTAAAGTTATTGTCACGACCAAACTCACTATAATCCATAAGGCTGGATTGGCCGTGAAAAAAACCGCGATGGTCGTGAAACTTTGGTCGTGAAATTACGTGTTATTTGGCTCTGTTCTGGCGGTAGCCCTGCACCTCATGTTCGAGGATACAAAGTGGACTTCTAGGTTGATCTAGCAATTGAAATCTCTTATAAACAAAAATTAACACCATGTCTACTTCATCGAATGACTACGTACGGTCATGGACACACCAAAATTACAAAAAACACAATCTTTCCTTTATTAATCTTGTAATTCCTCCTTTCAACTCAAAACGACCGGCACTACAATCCTGACGTACACCCCGAACTAGTCTCTAAAACCAACTGACTCCATCGACGCCAGGCTTGCCACTGTCGTGCTCCAAAGTTGAAAAATTTTCCCAAATGGTCGTGACGCCAAATCGAGGGACAGACTTATTTTGTCATGGTAGTCAGTCTGCAATGACAATAAAATTATAATATACTCCTTTTTTGTAAGTTTAATAACCATTGATAACATAAAAATATGACTTTATATATTTCGGCATGAATAATTAGTCTAAAACAGCGTGAAAGTTGGAAAATGTACCCTAGGGACACGTCATGGTCGTGAATTTCGAGACTTTAAAAATACGAAAAAAATACCTAGAACCTATTTAAAACTAAATAAATGTGTGTAACATGTTGCCCCCGTCCCAAAAAATATTAAAACACATAATAATAAACTACAAATCCAGTATCTACGAAGTAAAAGGCCAGGGACATGAAAACGTACGTTTTTAAATTTTCACTCCCATATCAGCTATAGTCATGTTAATAGTATATTATTTTTCATTCAATGGATGTAAATTTTGTTTGAAAACATTTTACCGTTTTTAGTATTTATTTAGCCTACAGTTAAAAAAGCGAATCATCGACTGATTACTTGCCATTGGTTAGGGTTCCATTATCATGTTAATGAAACCAATCAAGAAAACAAATTCATCAGCATTAATATAGGTACATATTTTTGGTTAGTGAAACATAAAGAATCGGAAACTACCTCCAGGGTTTACTGTTATAGATTCTATCTTTACTATCTATATAGATTGTATATATATACAATGCATGTTGGGCTATATTATTTTAACCTTTTTTCCTTGGAGCAACAGACAGTAGATACCTGGTTAAAATCTACTCCAAACAATTTTATTTTTCCGCCCATTGGAATTTGTTATAGTAATTAATGAAAGGAATATATGTATTGCCTGTACAAACCTTTTTCAAATTTTATTCCCAGGTTATTCTCTAGAGTAACTGTTAAGGTTATTCCACTCGATAAAATCATAGATTAAACACTACAATTACGTGTCAAATTAAATGTTATGAAATTTAAAACAAAAGTTTTGAATAAATTTTCAACATATGTTTTGAAATAAAAACAAAACAGAAGTTTTCTAACTAATCTTGCATCGTTGATTATTTAGTCAATGGGGCTATTTCATGTTAAACATTCCTTCAGCACAACAATAACCTACTAATGTGAAGAAATGTAATCAAAGTAAAATAATTTTGTAAACTTCGTGAACATATGTTTAAAGAAACCAAATCTTAAATGTTTCAGCCATTCTACTTCCATTTACTTTGATTTTAACCATCTCCCACGATTCTACTAAATTTCATGCGCTTGGCTAATTTACATACAAATACACAAATTTGCAAATTGCACAGTAAAATTAATTTCAACATTCTAAGACATAACGACAAAAGTCTCAATTGTAGGTAACGTCATCCCTGGTTTTATATAGTATACAGTACATTGCAGAATTTACTGGCAAATGAGTTAAATCCAAATGTAATATTGCTTACTGGCTTAGATGAATCACGATAAGCTGTATTGAGGTAAACAAAAATCAACAGACAAATGGCTTCTAATGATATTCTTATGGAGAACATTTTACGTTATATTATTGACTAAGTCAAAGGTTTTATCAAATTTTGTGTTAAAATTTGGGGAATTTCACTATTTTTCCGGGATCGAGACCTTTAATTTGAACCCTCTCCCGTCGTTCTACGACTACCCAGTCGCCCACAATTTTGACGCAAAGAATCGGCTTTCGTAATTAATATATAGATAGATATTTAATTTCCACAAAATCAGTTAATGTAACCAATGTGTTTCGTTGAATTGAAAAACAAAGAACACAATTAAATTAAACAGCTGATGTAAACAATATTATGTTCTTCGAAAGGATAACATGGGAACTTAAAAAGCCACTGTGGCAGAGGCCAAGGGACTTTTTCAAAAAAATTAGGCCAGTTTGCAAATCTACGCAACACGCTCTTTCCAATGAGACGTCAGTGGATAAAATCGGTTAAGAAATGGTGGAGGATTCAACCGACAAACTTAGTGTTCGCGTATTAATTATATAGATTTCATATGTGCATGAAATGTTGGTGTGAAACCAACTTGTATAACTTTAAGCTAAATGGTTTAAGTTACCTGGCTTCGTCAAGTGATCCTTCTTCAGTATTACACTACTATAGTTTCGGACTTGAAAATAAGTCCATCTTCAGAAAACGTCAATAGGTCATCTAACCAAATTGGACTTCCAGAGGCTACCTCACCATGTATACCTTTGAAGTAGAGGCTATATTTATTCCCAAAAGGTATCAAACGCCAGCTCCTGATCAAATCTTTTCTATCACTTTAAAGTTTGTTTTGTGTTTTTAGTCTTCACGTACAGAGACTTAAATCTTTGTATTAAATTGTTAGCAATCATAAATCGTGGACAGAATCCTCCACAAAAGATAAATACAATATAGTTCAACACCCTAGAACTCCTTAAAAAAAATATGTTTTGTTAAGGCTTCGTCATAATGTTAAAAATACTCAATACAACAAATTCATTAATTTTACATATGTAAACGTTGATAGTTGTGTGCGTATTGTATTTTAATATATCTTCTGTATACATCTAGTCCTCTATATTTTCTGTGTACACAAATGCTTCTGTATACACTTTTTTTGCAACTCACAGTAACTGAGAAATATTCTAAACTGGTGAACTGTTTTTATAAATTTTTGCCATTATTTCTCAACCCGTGCTTAAAAAATTAGTGACTCGTGGATAAATCCAGATACAAAATTTAATCTAAATCGGACCACAGGTTTTGTCTGTAGCTCTGTATCTGGATCATACAAGTGTGTATTATATAACCTGATATTAGTCAAAATATGTTTTATTCTATAACGTTTAATTTAATTAAACATAAAAGTCATGCTCCCTCCATTTTTAAAGTATTCAGTCCAAAAATGTAATAAATTTACTTGTGCATACATATTTATTTCGTTTTAATAAATAATTGAGGTGATGCAATACACTTATGTAGGCAGTCGCAGCAGTCGAATCCGGGCATAGCGCCTAAAGTTTCACGAACGCAAACCGCGCAACGAGTAGCTAAATGAGCCGTAGAGTAAGTGAGCCATCTAATATTTTGAAGAGGGTTCACTTACTCTACGGATCATAGTGCCAATGAACTGTAGAGTAAGTGAGCCATCTAATATTTTTCTGCAGGCTCGTATAGTATACGAGCCTATTCCTATAATTTATATTATTCATTATTTTGGCTCGTATACTATACGAGCCGATTCCTAAATTATCAAATAATTCGTAAGCTTGGCTCATAGTCACTATGATCTGTAGAGTAAGCGAACCTTCCTACTGTATTTTTAAATATAATACACGAGGCTCATAGGCACAATGATTCGTAGAGTAAGTGAACCCTCTTCATTTATTTTTTATTTTCGATAGGCTCGTATAGTATACGAGCCTGTAGTGCAAGTGAACCTTCAATATTATTTAAAAAGCTCGTATAGTCTATGATCTGTAGAGTAAGTGAGCTGTCCCCGTCGCAAGTGGTGCTGTAACAGCTGTTTTGTTTGGAAGCAGCTAATGGTTTGTGTATTTACGAAAGATTGGTTACTGGACTATGACAATATTGACTCGGCTTAAAAATGTACAGATATAGATTTTAATTCATACTGTTTCGGTTTTCAATTCTGTATGTTTTATTTTCAATATATTAATAAATTTATGTTCATAAATTTAAATTTAAATCAATAAAGTGCGTTGACTATACACCTCTACATACTTATAATGTGGGTGTTGGTAGAGGTGTATAGTCAATGCATATAGTACTGTATGCATTAATATTTTTTTCGTGTTGCTTCGTTGGTCGTTGGCTGCACTACTTTTTACTAGAATGTAAATCGTAAATCACATAAATAAATCTTTCTTTTGGTATCGTCTGCGGAAGACGTCAGATGGGATTTTGTTATTTGCTTACAAATAAATAAATTTGTAGTGAAATTTAAATTTTAGTGAAAGTGTATTAGGAACGAGATTTAAGAATGAAAATTTGGACTTCTGAACACACATTTAAGTGAGTAGGCCTATTTGTTAAATGGAACTGTACACTTTAATATTTAACCTTGTTGGGTCTCTTCCTATTTCGATGTTCTATCAAGGTTGTGTAACCACTATTTCAGGTTTATATTCTTAAATGAAAATGTAGATTTTTATATGAGCGTTTAATTTGTCCTATTTCTAAGCAACTTTTTTGGTATAGCCTACATGCCCAACAATCTGTGTACATTTTTATATCATTAGGCCTAAAAGTATTCTAACCCAAGTTTTATAAGTTTCTTGTCTCAGTAATGTAGTGCAAAAGTACTCAGCTACACTCTTAGCCGTTGAGTGAAATTAATTATTGTAATGCGATTGCAATGTGATTCAGTTGTTATTAACTTTATGTTTATAACTTTACCTTATTTCAGTCATCCATGGGAGACTGTTGCTCAGGCGGCATGGCGCAAGTACCCAAACCCCATGAACCCAGCTGTCTTGGGGACTGATGTCGTAGAACGTCAAGTAGTCAATGGAGTGCTTCATACCCACAGGCTTGTTAGTTCAAAATGGGGCATCCCTGGATGGGCACAAAGAGTAAGTGTAACTGATCAAACACATTTTGACATTTGAACACCATCCAATATCACTCTGTTTAAGATTACCTGTCAATAAGATATATTTAAGAAAAGTTTTGAGCCATTGAAATGCGAAGCTAGGCTACTATATTTATGAATAGGCCTACTCAGGCTACCTCCTCTTAAGTTTTAAATAGAATAAGAAATGCATGTCTGCGGTGGCGGTTCCAAGGGGGGGGCTAAAGGCCCCCCCTTGGACCCTGGAAAAAATAATTTGAACATACATTTTGTCCTTGAAATGCGCAACATTATAAAATCAGACAGCAATGTAGTTTTTACCAAACTAACTTAGCCTAAATAACCGATGGCAGGATTAGTATTAAGCTCTACATAGAAAAAAACTTTGTGGGGCAAAAGCACGACGACAAAAAACAATATTACGCTATGTTCATCCAATTTTTCCAGCAGTCAGCTGTTGACAAGCTAGGCCGGGGCAAAAGCAAACGCCAAGTGCAAAAACGAGGACAGGGAAACAGCTGATTCCATGTTCCCAGTCAAATTGTCTGCTAGCTACTGACATTGACAAGCATCAGCGGTATCGCCAGAAAGCCTAGCTTATAAATGATACTATATTGTGGGTTGTCTACTATGACTGTTTAATGCTGTTGTTGGTTACTTTAAATATTTTATGTAGTGCCGAAAACTGTTACAGATCTGTCTAATAGAGAAAAACCGAGTCTACTTGGTGAAAAGGGAGGTTTTTGGTTAATTTGGACACAGTTCTAGACGTTAAAAATGGCTTTATAAAGTCGCCAAAAGGCTTTTAGGAGATATGGCTTTAGTACAGTTTTGAACAGTTTTTTAGTAGGCTACAGCTTAAAGTATGTTTTTAAATTAAAAAAATGCAAGTAGACAATAGACAAACACTTTATTTAAATATTCCTAGAGACCATTCATGGTACAACTATTACATTGATTTGCAATTGCAATTAGAATTTTTTTATTTTTTATAGTAGCTTATTGTTTAAGAATTCATCCTCTGAGTAGAACGGCCGGTCCATAAGCCATGTTGTCAGGTGCTTCTTGAACAGATTGGGTTGTTCTCTCTTAAGACTTGCACAAGTTCATCATATAGTTTAATTTTTTTAATATCTACTTGCTCATGAAAAATAAGAGGTGAAATAGGAGGGTTTTGAACAATTGGGCACAATTCTAGACATTAAAAATATGACATTAAGAAAGTCAACAAATGGGTTTTAGGAGGTTATGGTCGTAGTCTACAGTATGTTCTGATTTTCATGAATGCAATCGTCATAGTTTAATTTTTTAAATGTCTACTTGCTCATAACAAACAACAGGTGAAATGGCAGTTTATATGGACAATAATTGGTCACAGTTTTAGGCGTTAAAAATGGCTTTAGAAAATCACCAAACGGCTTTGAAAGTATAAAATTTTCCTGGGGGAGGGCCCCCGTTCCTCTTCCTTTATTGACCCCCAAGCACCCCGGTAGCCCCCCCTTGACAAGGTCCTAGAAACCGCCACTGCAAGTCTGTAAGTTAATAACACTCCTAAACACTGCTAAATACAAAAGGTTAATTTGCTAATGTTTAGGCTATGTTTTAAACAGACCAATATTGTTTTAAACAAGTGTTTTTCACGTGGTTTCTGACATTTTTCTGTCACAATCAGAAATGTCCTATATTATAAATTCTCAATAAATTATATTATTTATGAACACAACCACCAATTGAAGCCATGCAACCACTATTATTGTCACATTACACACCTAGGTCATATTACAGTAGTAAGTTAAGTCAATTTAAGTATTGTCTCTAAGTATGTTCTCTCCCAGTCTAATTAAACTGTCAAACATTGCAAAATGCCAGGAAGAAGACAATTTTTTAGGCTAAGACAACCCAATTGGGCCTGGTTGATGACCAGTAGGATTGGTCCATATATATTTATTAGAAAATGTTACAGTAACCTATAGCAAGTTATGGGTTTAGAATTCTTAATTATTAGCTTTTTTTTGGGGGGGGGGGGGGGTTTTGAATAAAAACATCAAACCCATAACATGACATTAACAACTTTTTGGACCTAATCCTAAATAAATAAACTTCCAGACTTTCAGAACTGTGTACAGACTTTTCCTCATTTGGCGAAGAATAGAATCACTGAGTGTGCCGGATAATTCACTGCTACTGTATATTTTAAGTTTCATCTACATAATGTATAAAGTCATGTTATTGTGTTTTGTTCTACAGTCCCTGGTGAGTGGGGTACAACATGCACAGGTTATGATGAAAAACATGTCTCTGTCACTAACTCTCCTAATTGTATTGTTTTCATGGAGTGAAAGATTTAATTGAAACTAAAAACCCACTAACGCTTAAATTTGTTATGTAAACTAACATTTGGCAATCTATTTATTCAAATATCTCTAAGCCTATAATAAAAGAATCACTTCAGAGATTTCTTTAACCCTTGATAGATATTAATTTGGCCTATTTTGTAAATTATGTTTGAGATTTAAAATATGGTTTCAACATTTTACTTTTGAGCGTAGGTTACTCTTAACACGTCTCTTTGTTTTTCCTTCTCGTGTTGCTCTTTGTTTTTAGCTAATGATAAAGCTACATATTTATAAGTTCACTGGCTATGAGTGCCAGAAATCAATTTATATATTTTCAAGCCAGATATCAACAAAAATTGTTCTTTTTTTCTCTTGTAGGTTATAGCTTATATCCTCTCTGCATATTTTTCTCCCCATTATTATTTTTTTCTCCTGTATTCATTGTTGACAAATGTGAACCAACGCGATTCCCTTTTACTTTTCCACATACTATCTATTGTCTAACTGGAAATAAACATTTGATTCTTGAAATCCGTTAAGTCACCTTGTCACATCAGGGTATTCCTAAATTATTGATTTGATCATTACCAGTCATTAGGCTAATGGCTGTCTAGGTTTATAATAAGCAAGGGTTTTACAATTTTATTAATTTCTCTTTCTATTTTAGTAATTGAATGTTATCACTTACCAGAATTACTTTGGTACGTTAAAACAAATTTAGGTAATTTTAATCTGTTTATTGATATAGACCTAAACCTGGAAAGATTATTAAGTTCTGATATTTATTCCCTCACATAGAAAATAAAAAGAAGATCAAATAGTAGCTTTCACCAAAATACGTGTTGAAAGCATGTTATAAGTCTCACCATTTCTATTAAAACATGTTGGTTGTAAAAATAGCTTAATGATTTGTTTTGTTTTGCGTTAGAGGTAGGATAGTAATACTAACCTAAATTACTAACTCAAATGCTCTTTTGTACCTAGTTTAATAATTACAGTTTAATAATTTTCTCGGTTTTTCTGGTCACACTTTTAAATTTAAATCCAATCCAATTTATAAATCAGGTGTTGTTTATATAAAAGGGGCTTGTTGCATCAATAACAGCTGACTATCAGCTGATGAGACTTATCTCATGGCGAGACTGGGCTATGTCCACACCACTCCATATGGACAAAGTCCACAATTGTTGGGGCACTCTAGACTTGACAAGTTTGTGATAACTGGTTTGACCTTGTCAAACGATGAGTCATTTGAAGAGTTTTTCACTTGATTGCAAACTTCTTAATCATTTCGTCATATTTGCAATCTCAAAGATAAGTATTGATTGGTTTTGTTGACCTAAACACTATCGGGAGGAGTGCGTTGTCAATGAAATTATTTTACAGAAATTTTTATTGTTAAATGGTTGGATTACAGATTTAAAAATATTGATGTTGGGTAGTGTTATTGACTACCTACCTCATATCCAATTGTATTACTATTTTTAATCTTTTATTTTTCCAAATTCAGTTAAAATGAGGCACAAAAGAGTAAAAGAGATGTTTACTAAGTATTATTTTATGTTGTCCTATAACAATGTATTTTATTGTACAAGTACACCCATTTAGAATAATGAACACATTTTTTACTAACTAGAAGCTATTTACTGAAAATTAAAATTTGGTGTTGTTCCTTAAAAAGATAAAAGAAATAACCAGGTTCAAATTCTGATAGTTAACTTATTTAGTTGGGTTTTACTATTTAAATTTTTTTGTTTTCATAAGCTTTTTACTGTTTGATAGGTCAAAATTAGTAACTTACGATTTATTTTGATAACCCTCCTGAAATGACACAGGTACCTACCTTTTTTACTTTCTCCCTCTATACCATAGTATATGGAGAAAGTATTGTTTTCGTCAAAATTTTCGAGTTTGAGTTTTGAGTGGATATATTCGTTTTGGGTCCCCCTGGACCCAAAAAAGTGGTTTTCGAAGTGATGTCTGTGTGTGTGTGTGTGTGTGTGTGTGTGTGTGTCTGTGTGTTTGTATTCACCGAATAGTGGCATCCTTCACAGGCACACGGCCGTACTGTGGCACCTTCAAAAATTGTGGCACCTTTTTCAGGGTGCCACAGCTAATTCGATCATTTTTTAGGTTTTCCAGCATTATTACGTCGTTTAAACATCACATGCCACAATTGAGTATTTTTGAACTCGTTGATGTGAGTTTAAGTAGCGCAGGTACACACCGAATTGTGGAACACGAAACCATACAGGTAGCTAGCGCGCCTCGCGCCGTCCGCCGGAACTATAACTTTCCTAATGCTACGTTGCCAATTCTCGCGCCAGCCTACACTCGAAATAGTGGCACCATGCCACAATTCAGTATATATCAACAGTGTGTGGACAGGATGCCACTTAATGAGTTGTAGAGCTTGAGCAGTGTGTAGAACAGTGCAACAAGCAACTAATAAACTAATCTTGTTTAGTACAACAAGACTAATAATATGAGTAACTTAAGTCAGTCTAGTCTCGCTCCGCTCCGCACAATTTGTTTTTCAGGATTAACTTTGCCAACAGTGTCATTTAGAGGCTTCTGATTGACTCAAACGAATAAGGTTTAGCAATTGAAAAATTATTTTTGTTCATAAACCGAAAAGATAGATAATACTATACTGCCACGTACT